TGAAAATATGCCCTGGAGTGGAGCAAAGAGGGCACCACCACACCAAGATACTTTCACAAAAAGGGGGAGTTGCTCAGACTCCTAAACTCAGTGTGAGGAAGTGCTGGATGCCTGGAATTATGCCCAGACATGGAGCAGACAGGGTGCTCATCTCCCAATATCTCTGCACAGGAAGTGGGGGGCACCTCAGACTCCTAATCTGAGTAGGAAGGTTAAATAACCAGAAATATGCCCCTCAGTGAAAAGCAGAGTAACAGTTGTGGAGTGGGCTAACTGCTGCTGCTGCAACATTTTTGCACAGCAACGGAGGGTAAACTCAGGCCCCTATTCCAGGTGAGTAGGTGTGCCTAGTGTCCGGAAATATTCCCAGGCATGGTGCAGAGGGGGTGCTTCTGCAGTAAGTTCTTTGCAAAGAAATGTCAGAAGAATTTGAACCAGAGTGACTCCATCTTAAATAGGGGCTGGTTAAAATAAAGCTGAGATATTCCGGGCTGCATTCCCAGGAGTTTGGATATTTTTAGTCACAGAATGAGATAGAAGGTCAGAAAGACTGGTGTTACAAGGTACAGGTTATAAGGACCCTGCTGATAAAGCAGAATTCAGTTAAGAAGCTGGCTAAAACCCACCAAAATCAAGATAGTTATGAAAGTGACTTGTGGTTGTCCTCACTGCTCATTATATGCTAACTATAATCCATTAGCACATTAAAAATATTCCCACCAGTGATATGACATAAGTGTCATGGCAATCAATATCCAAAAGTTACCCTAGGGAGTCTAGAAAGGAGATGAATCCTCGGTTCTGGATAATCCTTGCCCTTTTTCTGAAAAATTTATGAATAGTTCACCCCTTGATTAGCATATGATCCAGAAATAACCATAAAAATAGTCAACCAGCAGTCCTTAGGGCTGCTCTGCTTATGGAGCAGCCATCCTTTTGTTTACTTTGCTTTCAATCTACTATGTGGACTCACGCCAAATTTTTTCTTACATGAGATCCTAGAATCCTCTTGGGGTCTGGATTGAGACCGCTTTTGGGTAACAGGTAGAGAAGCATTGCCCACATCCCCCAGATGAACAGGAGTGGGATCCACCTTCTTTCCACTCAGAATTAATGGGACACAGTTCCCTGACTGACCAGGGCAGCAGGCTGGGGCACCCAGTAACGACACACATAGAATGGAACTGGGTCGCAAAGCTATCCTTGGCTGCAGGTTTTTTCATCCAGGAGAAACTGTGGCTTACGCATCTCTCCTGCTTCAGTCCCATGACGGGAAATATTCCAATTCCATCACTTACTGACAGGGCATGCTCCACATTTCCCCCTCAGTTCTGGCTGTGGGGTCCCATCTCCTGTTCTAGAGTAAGTGCAGACAGAGACTAAAATGCCTGTGGCAGCTGCTACCACTAATTATTCAAGAATGATTGACTTTATGAGCCTGGATCAAAAATGGTGTCCTCTTCTCAATTAAAATATCTGCATACCTGGTGTCATTTCCTCTCTGTGTCTCCCAGTCTTTCAGCAAGTTAGCTCCAGGGATTGGGAAAAATGATGGCCTGGTTTTCCTAGATTATAATAGAAAAGTGAATAATAGAGGGTGACTCTGCCTCTTTCACATACTGAGACTTCACTCACTTTTATGCCAGATGCCATCAAACGGCCTGCTTATAAACCTTCTCTTCCCCTTGGGGGAATTCTCATATTCTTTCTTGAATAAAAGCTCAAAGTGTAAATTTTTACACACTGTTTTTCTACTTCTAAGTGAATGAGGCACAATAAAAGCCTTTAATCCACCAGCTTGGGAGAAAAATGCAGGGCAAAAGTTTACAATTTTAACTATGTTTAACATATCGGTGTTTTACTTTTATGGATGGTACCTTTGCTACTACACCTAAAAAGTCAACTCAAAACTCAAGATCACCTATATTTTCTCTTATGCTATTTCCTAAGAATTTATTGTTTTGCATTTTACATATAGGTCTATGTATTTTTGTGTGTTAATTTTGGGAAAGGTACAAGATCCATGTCTAGATTCTGTTTTTTCCTACAGGTGGATGTCCACGTTTTTCAACACCATTTGCTGAAAAGACAGTCCTTTCTCCATTGAACTTCCTTTTACCATTTGTTGAAGGTCAGTTGACAACATATGTATGGGTCTATTTCTGTGCTTTCTACTCTGTTCCACTGACCTGTGTGTTTATTGTTTATCAGTATCACACTGTATCTTTTACTGTAGCCAGCAGTAACACAAATGATTTTGACAAAAGGGCAAAAGTGATTCAACAAATTAGCAAGTGGTACTGGAGTAATTGGACATACATAGGCAAAAATATATTCATTCATCTAAGTTTCACACCTGGTACAGATATTAACTCAAGTGGATAAAAGATTTAAATGTAACAATAAAACCCTTTTTAAAAACATGGAGGAATTGGGATCTAGGCTGAGGCAAAGAGGTTTTAGACATCAAAAGTAAGATATGTAAAATTAAAAAGTGATAAATTATACTTACCAAAATTAGAAAACTTTGCTCTGTAAAAAAATCTTTTTAAGGAGATGAAAATACAAGCCATAGACTGGGTGAAAATGTCGGACAATTACATAGCTGACAAAGAACTAGTACCTAGATACTGTAAACCTATATATACATATCATGATTTAACTATGAAAAATCAAATAATTAAGTTAAAAATGGGCAAAAATCATGATGAGATATTTCACCAAGGAAAAATAGATGGGAACTTAGCTCTTGGAAAGCTGCTTAAGTTTGTTAACCACTAGTAAAATGCAAATTCAGACCAATGATATCTCATTAAAAACTGAAATATCACTAAACACCTAACAGAATAACTTAAATAGCAAGCAGGGACAGTACCAAGTGCTTGTGATGACATGGAGAAACTAGATCACTCACACATCACAGAATGTAAAATGACACAATAATGCTGAGAAAACATTTGGTGCAAGAGGTTTAGCTTTCACCCTGTCTTGGTTTTCAACATGCCTTCTTCAATGAGCTTGATCATTTCCAGCTAACTTAAAATGAAAGAAATGATACTTTTTCTTTCACTTGAACATAGATGTCTTTGCAGTGTTATTTACTGGCTTAATTTCAATATCATTGTGTCTCAGGAAATAGGCAGGTCCAAGGAGAGGGAGAGAACTGAGGGAATGGCTGATTGGTGGGGAAGTCAGAACGCACACATTTATTGATTAAGTTTACTATATTATATGGATTCAATTTGTGGTACCTCAAAACAATTACAATAGTAACATCAAAAATCATGGATTACAGATCACCATGACAGATAAAATGCGAATGAAAAAGTTAAAAATATTGTAAGAATTACTAAAATGTGACAGAGGCAAGAAGTAAGCACTTACTCTTAGGAAATAGGTGCTTATAGACTTGCTTGATGCAGGGTTGCCATAAATCTTCAATTAAAAAAAAAAAAAGCAGTATCTTAAAAAATCTTGGAGCAATATTGCGTATTAAGATGTGCAAAGGAAAATAAAACACTCCCAGGAAGCCCCAAACCTCTATGTGAAAGGAAAGGAGGCTAAGTCTTGAAGAACCCTTTTCCAAATAAATATCTGTTACTAATACTATGTCTCAGCCAGATCTCTATTGAGAGGTAAAAGGCCTCTGGCATCTGCTGAAGGACTGCCTCCACAGATCTTTCATAAGTAAATGTTTTGCTGACTTTTCATAAACCATGACATGCCAATTATAACCTTTAGGAGTTAAGTTTATCTCCTAAAATTCTGCACTGATACTGTCATTACAAGTTGATCTTCTCAGGTAGAGAATAAAGTCCAGATTCATTTCCCCCAGCTACCCAGAGGTATCTGCATAATTGATTCTTCCTTTACTTCTTTCTGGTTTTCATACAGTCACTTTTTCTTACGTAAAATGTAGATTTATTGGGCACTAGTTAAGTCTCACAGAATATAAATATTTGCCTAACCACCTGGCCTGCATTCCTTCCCTCCTCCAACTTTAAGGTAAGACATAAATATCAAATTTTTTGAAAAACTCTTTGGAGAAACAACCACATATGTATCTGTGGCTTGTTTTTTTTTTTTCTTCCCAATTGTACCATAAGCAGGTTTAATAAACCTCAGTGATTAAGAGTTATGCCTCGATCATCATTTTAGTTGGCAGATGCCATCATAGGTTAAGGTTCCTACAAAAAAAAAAAATGTCAAACCATAGAGATAGGTGGCTTTCGTTCCCGAGCTCAGTCATTGAACACCTAAAGTAGAGAAACAAAAAAAAAAAAAACAAAGAAATGCAGAAAATAATTTAAAAACTCTTGGAGTGACAGGCATTATTTTGAACCCTTGTGCTGGGATGCAGCTTTTCCCTGAAGAAGGAAATTGCCAGGTGAGGCCATGGAAGACAATTTATAAAGGAACTGTTTAAAGTTCTGCTTTTGCTTCTCCCATGACATTGCCTCAAGACAAACAGTGGCCGACCTTTGCACCAGCTGCGACTCAAAACTCTAGTCCAGTTACTATTAGAAGTAAATTCATGCCTGGTAAGAAGTTGCTATGAAGATGAGATTTTAAAAAATTAGTTTCAAGCACATATTTCCAATATCTCCCTATTCAAATTCTCCAAGGACTGGTAAATTATAATTTAAAGAAGCTCTCCTAATAAACTTCTACAAAAACAGAAATATTTAGGAGAATTAGGAGTGTTTTAATTGTTCTGTTTATCTTTTGGTCTCTGGGGCTCTCTTCCCCAGAGCTCATCCTGCTCCTTCATTCCAGGAGTTGATTGGGGCTCCGTGGACTGGAGACAGCTTTCCTTCCGCATCCACTCCCTGACAATGTCGCCAGTCTTCTCGTAGGATATGAGCTTACAGAATAAAATAATAAGACTTTGACGAGTTCAAATATTTCAAAAGAAATTAAACATGCTGTATTAAAGGTTCTATTAGAGTGCAAGTACTAGGACAAAAGGCCCAAGAATATAAAATTAGCCAAATTAACATATGAAAAGGACCTTGCCTTCTCATCTTCCTGAACTTCCCGGACCTGAGTCAGAGACACCTGGTGAGAGACTGCGGGAGGGACAAACACTTCGAGATTCAATGCTTAAGTATCCAGATAGTCACCAGCCCAGGATCTTTGGTGGGGTCTTGGAGAGTGATGCAAGAAATGAATCCCTCAAACCAACACTATACTGGGGCTCCCAGAGACCATTTCATAGGTTTGATGACATATGGCCTGTAGACCCCCATCCTAGAACCAGAGAGGACAATGATCTTGATGCCCAGGTTGCCCAGGAGGGTCTTGGCTCAGTTCTGCAGCCCCAGCCCAAATCCTATTTCAAGAGCATCTCTGTGACCAAGATCACTAAGCCAGATGGGGTAGTGGAGGAGCGCAGGACGGTGGTGGACAGTGAGGGCCGGACAGAGACCACAGTAACCCGACATGAAGCAGATAGCAGTCCTAGGGGTGATCCAGAATCACCAAGACCTCCAGCCCTGGATGATGCCTTCTCCATCCTGGACTTATTCCTAGGACGTTGGTTCTGGTCCCGGTAGCCTTGTTAACCCTCAGAGGCCTTCAAGCCCTTTCCACCTCCCACCCATTGCTCACCATCAATAAGTTTAGCTTCTCCTCTTGCCACCTCAGGGACTTCGATATGTGGAATAGTGAACTGGGGGGATGTCAGTTTGTTACTCACCCAGACTGACCAATAAAACCTTTATTTAGGCCTGGCGTGGTGGCTCACGCCTGTAATCCAAGCACGTTGGAGGCCAAAGTGGGCGTATCACCTGAGGTCAGGAGTTCAAGACCAGCCTGACCAACATGGTGAAACCCCATCTTTAAAAAAATAAATAAATAAAATAAAAAAACCTTTATTTAAAAAAAATATTAGGAATATGAAAAAGATACGAAAGTTTTTTTATATATAAATCAAGCTATATTATGAAAAATAAAATAACTAAAATAGACAAAATTCAAAGAATTTTAAAAAATATGAAAGGTCTCAGACTGAACAATTTGTAATAGGTCAAAGAAGAGCGTTAAGGAAAAGCACATACCCATTTGTTATCTCTGGTACATCTGTATAGATCTGTAGCAATCTCAATTTTTCCCTCTGCAGAAAAAAAAAAAAAAAAAAAAAGTCAACCAAGGGGCATAAGGCAGTGTGAGAGACTTAGGTAAGTTTTAGAATAGGAATGAACGTTGATTAAATGGCTTTAGAGCAGGAATGAAAGGAAGTAAAGTACAGTTGGAAGAGGGCCAAGCAGGCAACTTGAGAAATCAAGTGTACAGTTTAATCTTTTGAAATAGGGTTTTTACATTGGCGTGTATTCTAGCCCATTTTCACAGTGCTATTAAAAAAAAAAAAAAAAAAAAAAAAAAAAAAAAACTACATCAGATGGGGTAATTTATAAAGAAAAAAGGCTTAATTGATTTGCAGTTCCACATGTCTTAGAGGCCTCAGAAAACATGAAATTATAGTAGAAGGTGATGGGGAAGCAAGGTGTGTCTTACATGGCTGCAGGAGAAAAAAATTGAGGCAGAAAGTGCCACACACTTTCAAACAACAAGATCTTATGAGAACTTACTCACTGCCACTAGCACAGAAAGGGGGAAATCCATCTCCATGATTCAATTATTTCCTATGAGACCCCTTCACTGACACATGGAAATTACAGTTCAAGATGAGATTTGGGTGGGGATACAGAGCCAGACCATATTATTTCACCCCTGGCCCCTTCCAAATCTCATGTCCTTCTCACATTTCAAAACACAATCACACCTTCCCAACAGTCCCTCAGTCTTAACACATTCTAACACTAATTCAAAAGTCCAAGTCCAAATTCTCATCTGAGATAAGGCAAATTCCTTCCCTCTATGAGCCTGTAAAATTAAAATCAAGCGAGTTATTTCCAGGATACAATGAGGGTACAGACACTGGGTAAATCCTCCAATTCCAAGGAAGAAATTGGCCAAAACAAAGGGGCCACAGGTGCCATGCAAATGTGAAACCCAGTGGGGCATTCATTAAATCTTAAAACTCTAAAATTATCTCCTTTGACTCTATGTCTTACATCCAGGTCACACTGATGCAAGGGGTGGGTCCAAAGGCCTTAGACAGCTCTGCCCCTGTGGCTCTGCACGATATAGCCTCCAAGTTGCTTTCACAGGCTGTCATTGAGTGCCTTCTGCTTTCCCCGGCTCATGGTGTAAACTGTCAGTGGATCTACCATTCTGTGGTCTGGAGTACGGTAAGCCTCTTCTCAGAGCTCCACCAGGCAGTGTTTCAGCGGGGGACTCTGTGTGCAGTCTCCAATGCCAGATTTCCCCACTGCAGTACTCTAGTGGAGATTCACCATGAATGCTCTGCCTCTGCATCAGACATCTGCCTGGACAGCCAGGCATTTTCATACACCCTCTAAAATCTAGTGTGAGGCTCCAAAATTCTTGCCTTCTGTGCACCTCCAGGCCCAACACCACTTGGAAGATGCTGAGGCTTGGGGCTTGCATCCTTTGAAGCAATGGCCTGAGCTATACCTTGACCCCTTTTAGCCAGGGATGGAGCTGAAGCTGAAATGTCTGGGACACAGGGTACCATGTCCTAAGGCTACACAGAGCAGCAATGCCCTGTGCCCAGTCCACAAAACCATTTTTCTCTTCTGTGCTTCCAGGTCTCTGATGGGAGGAGTTGTCATGAAGATCTCTGAAATGCCTTGGAGACATTTTCCCCACTGTCTTAAGAATTAACACTCAGCTCCTCTTTATTTATCCAAATTTCTACAAACATTGGTTTGAATTCCTCCCCAGTAAATGAGTTTCTCTTTTCTATCAAATGAATTTTCCAAACTTTCCTTCTCTGCTTCCCTTTTAAACATAGTTCCAATTTTAGATTATCTCTTTGTGAACACATATAACTATGTGTAGTTAGAAGCATCCAGGTGACTTTTTAACACTTTGCTGCTTAGAAATTTCTTCCACCAGATGCCCTAAATCATTTTTCTGAAGGTCAGTGTTCCACAGTTCTCTATGACAGGGTCACCAGTCTCTTTACTAAAGCATAGTAAAAGTGGCCTTACTCTATTTCCCAATAAGTTTGTTGTCTCCATCTGAGACCATCTCAGCCTGGATTTCATTGCTCATATCACCATTAGCATTTTTGTCAAAACTATTTTCAAATCTCTAGAAAGTTTTAAACTTTCCCACATCTTCCTATCTTCTTCCAAGACTTCTAAACCATTCCAACTTCTGCCTATTACCCAGTTCCAAAGTCATTTCCACAGTTTCAGATATCTTCATAGAAGTGTCCCACTCCTGGTAGCAATTTTCTGTATTTGTCTGTTTTCAAATTGCTGTAAAGAACTACCTAAGACTGGGTAATTCTCTGTATTTGTCTGTTTTCAAATTGCTGTAAAGAACTACATAAAACTGGATAATTTATTTAAAAAAGAGGTTTAGTTGACTCACATCTCTGCATGACTGGAGAGACAGGAAACTTATGATCACGGAGGAAGACAAAAGGAAAGAAAGGCATGTTTTACATGGCAGCAGAAGAGAGGGAGGACAAAGAAAGCCAAACACATTTAAACCATCATGTCTCATGAGAACTCACTCACTATCATAAGAACAGCAGATGGAAGTCTGCCCCACAATGGTTCAATCACCTCCCACCAGGCCCCTCCCCAGACATGCTGGGATTATAATTCAAGATGAGATTTGATTAGGGGCATAAATCTAAACCATATCAGCATGCTTTGGGCTCTTATATTCCTTATCCCTGTATTTTTTCCATAGGGCGGGCTGTCTGTATGTGCAGTAGTCTTTCCCCTTTAACCTGGGTATCTGTTTTTTTTTCACTCAAAAAGCCCTAACTATACACATGAAAATGACAATTGTCATTCAAATGCAGGGAAGTGATGAAATATTCTCAGACTTTCAATGCTACAGACATTTGCCAGACTAAAATCTATTGTGAAAACAGTTTTAGAAAAAGTACATAGGTTTTAAAAAATCCAGGTAATATTATAAGATATATATGAAAAACAAAAATCAAAACTTGTTAAATTATGTCACTTAAAATTTTTTTCTAATCAGAGAAAAAGAGGCAATAAAATTATAATAACCAAGAAATTAAAGATTATAGAATCTCAGCCTGATGAAGAAGAGAGGAAGGTGGTGCATATGAATCGAACTATGTGAGAATTTGCTAAAATTTTTACCATTTAAAAAAACTATAAGTTAGAAAGAAATAAATTTCGAAATAGTAGAAAACAGCTAAAACAAAACAAAAAAAATCAACATGACACAAACCGATACAAATTAATCACCAATTACAATAAATGTAAATGGATTGAACAATATATTTACAGAATGGATAAAGAAATGAAATAATAAAGACAAAGCATCAGAACATACAAAGTATGAGATTTAAGGTAAATAAAAAGACATAGACAAATGCCAAAAGAAAGATTATAGGACTAATTTAATATCTGATAAAATGGGTGTGAACATATTAAAGTACAGAAGCCATCTTTGTAAAATTATGGCAGTAAGAGTTATCTGACATAGTTGACTGCATCTTGCTTGTAACCTCTAAGCTTGATCCTTCCTGACCATAGGACAAGCTAATCTTAGGATGAATTTAGTTTATAGTTTAACCTTAAAGGAAGGATGATGACGACCCTTCCCAAAACTAAACTACCTTTGTAAAACTAATTAAAGTCCACAAGATTAGAATTATGAGAGAGGCACCAATGCTGCTAAAATGTAAGCATAGTTAAATGGTAACAAGCCGTTTTCCCAGAGGTCATACAATTTGTAACTTCCTCAGATGGTTCTATAGCTACTATCATTAACATAGAATCTAAGATTGGTTGTTGGAGAGGATTTTGCAGATGTTTGTCCTCTGGGAACTGCACGTGGAACTATGACTCATGATTTAACCACCTCTGTGGTCCCCCACCCACAGATAGATTTAGCACATGAGTACCATTTTTCAAACCCTTATGATGACATCCCCAATCAGTGGGCAGCACTCAATTCCTCATCCTTTGCCCACAAAACTGTTCTTCAAAAACCCTAATCTCTGGCTCTTTGGGGAGACTAATTGAGTGATAACTACATCATTCATGTGACTGGGCTTGTGTCTATTAAATTCTTTCATTACTGCAATGCCATGGTCTCAGTGAATTATTTTATTCTTTCTGTGCATCAGGCAGGAAGAATCCATCAAGCAGTTATAATACTTATTAAAGATGAAATATCATTATTTCATGAAAAAGTTTCAACAAACTAAGATGTAACAATTTTAAACATCTATGCACCTAATTTTAAAATGCACTTAATTTATTTACTTTTATTTATTTATTTTTCAGAGACAGTGTCTCACTCTGTCACCCAGACTAGAGTACAGTGGGTGCAACTCAGCTCACTGCAACCTCCACCTCCCAGATTCAAGTGATTCTCCTGCCTCAGCCTCCCGAGTGTCTGGAATTACAGGTACGCACCACAATTCCTGGCTAATTTTTGAATTTTTAGTAGAGATGGGGTTTAGCTATGTTGGCCAGGCTGGTCTTGATCTGCTGACTTCAAGTGATGTGCCCACATTGGCCTCCAAAAGTCTTAGGATTACAGGCATGAGACACCTCACAGGGAGAAACTGATAAATCCACCATCATGGATTTTAACATACCACAATTGATACGTCAAGCATACAAAATAATTTTTAAAA